GCACAGGCTGTAGATAGACATATAGTAGGGTTTAATGTACAAATCTCGCTACTTAATTTATTTAAGTAAGCGTCGTTAAGTCAAGTTGCTCTCGGGTTAGGCGTTGATCCGAGCACACACCGTATCCTTGCCAATTAGCCAAAAGTGGCGAATTCCACATATTTATTCAGTTCCAAGAAGTATTTTCGGACAAAATTCCTCTTCGCACATAGTGCCTTCTTTCCATTACTCTTGCTATAAAACAGGATAGTGGTCGTCGCAATTTGCAAGTAATGGGGGAATGAAGGCAATGAATAAGTACTCCAGTCTCAGATTTAAAAATAGCGAAATGACTGGATCTTTTAGAGTTTGTAATTTATTTCTCAAAAATCCAGAAGTAAGTGATTGCGATAACCAATGATGCCAAATGATGAGAGTACTAGGTTAACATTCAGATTTACTAGTAAACTAAGTGCTGGATGAAGGCAGGGACCTCGTTTGGGATTGTGCCATTCTTGCTTACTGCCAATCAAGAGGGCAGTTTTGACAGCGATAGACGACAAATGAATAACTTGCAAAACGTTCAGTGGCCTGCTGAACGCATAAACATTGCGCTAAATGATTTCGACGGCAACAGAAAATAGGATTATTTGTAATTTTCATCAAGTGCCTCACAGTCGGCGTGTACCGACTGGTTCTTTCGTCTAGAACATTTGAATTTTTACAGCGGGCTGCCGGAATCTCTCAAAAAAAACCCTATATAACTTTCCCGGAGGTTGCCACGCAAATCCAATGTTGTCGCAAAGTCCAGTTTTCAGAGACGATGCAAGCTGAGTGGCTTTCTTTACTGTCATCGTAACCTCTAGGAAAGTCAAAACTAACGGATTTTGGGCCCGGCAGTAAGCACGATACCAACCCGCGAATCAACGGTTTCTTGAGACTTTGAAACCAGTTCGTGAGCAGGTTCGGCCAAAATGCCAGAAAAAGCTAATTCAAGATACTTTTCAGATAGGGATACATTGTAGGGACGCTCAATGGCACAAGTCTCCTAGCCCAAGTGTCTGAGGGAATTGGTGGGTGAAAGTTTAATGCAGAATAGAAAAAAATTAAAGCCACGTGTAGTTGTTTTACCGAACTAAAACGTAGGTAAAGGGTTGCTGGAAGAACAAAAAGACCTAGAAAACTATAAGAGCAACCCCTATTGGTTACCAAAGTCAGCCTATAGACCAAGCAAACTATTAGGGCAACTCATACTACCATTAGGCAGTCCCACTATGAATCCCTACCTTCTCCCAATTTGTTACTAAGTCATGTTTACATGGTTTCAGACGCTAGTGCTGGCCACTTCTCGACTTGCACCAATATCTCTTTTCCTGGGGGAGCTGAGGGAGAAAAAGCCACGAAATGTTGACCTGCTTGGCGGTGGGGTAGATGGCGTCTCAGGCCAAAATACCAGGCTGTGAAAGGACGATTTTGGACAAAGTACGAAGATTAACAAGTGTCAACTAAGGGGGGGGGGAAGCATAACCAACCTGTTCGACAAATAGCGCCTGCGGTAGATCGACCCGACCGCGCAAGAGGGCGTTGACCTTTGGTAGGACGTCAGGATTAACCCCAGTTGTAAGGTAAATGATGCCAGTATCCGGGTTCACAGCCCTCACAATGGCTAACAATGAGAAAAGGCAGTTATGAATTCGATCATCAGGATCAGTGTCCGGCAAAAGGACACTTTAGTAAAAGCAATCGCAAGTGAGTTGATCACTGTGCTCATCAATGAATCAAAGATTAATAAAGGTTTTCTTAAAATAAAAGTTCGTCCATCACACACGACGCGGTTCAGCGCCTTCTAGAGAGCGCGAGGGGGACTTATGCGTGGCTTGGTCGTCTTTCACTCACCTATTTCACTACGGCCACGGAAGGGGGTGAGGTAGATGCAGCATGTTCCAATGACAGTAAAACTGGAAGTGGGCATGGGCACAAAAGAGAAGCAATTAACACTGAACTACTGCAGTCTGACCCGCAGAACGGAGGTGGAACAAGTTACCTGGTCCGTTGACAGTTTTCCTAATCAGTAGGAGGGTAAGTCCCACATCCATCATGGCCTTCACTAGTAACCATGCATCAGTGGCGAATTCAAGTTAAGCAGACTAGCGACGGGACCGGAATTAGTCGACAGAAATGGGAAAAAAAACGGAAACTACTTCACTGTAATGTTAATTTTATTTGCTTAACGTTTCAGAATCTCAGTTGGATCCAACATAGATGTAGGGGACTGCAGTTTTTATGTGACTGCTATGTCATCATACATCCAACAATACTGGTAGCCCTAGCATTCATCGCCTGTGTTCATACTTGGTGCACTGATGGTTTCACCACCTGATCGTAAGTCCTAAATGGCCATGAGAGCTGGACTGGCTCTTTAGCTGACCTCAGAGTGAATGTTTCGTCTCTTGACTTCTCCGACTGCATCTAGCAACCACGCGTACGCCAAAACCAGTGATAACAATTAGCAAGGTGGTACGATAATATTAAACAAATAGCAAAGGATAATCAACGTACAAACCTCAACAGTGGATACACCAAGTCAAGAGCGAAGGGAGCCGGTCAAATCGCCGGACTCTATACAAGGGAACAACACAAGTTCAATAATGGCGCCACGCAGGGCGAAACTAGTCTTGGAAAAGCTTGTGTCTGTTAGTGGGAGAGGGGGCGTGGCTCTGGTTTCACATGATTTCAGGAGGCCATTCCTATGGCCTCGGGATTGGTCTGGAAGCACCAGCGCGAAATGGGGTTGACGTGAACAGAGACCACACGGTGCCGGCAAGGGGGGAGGAATTGTAAGCACTTGAAGTCAGCGGTGGTGACAGCTGTAAACGAACCAGAGGGGGAGGGAGAGGCAATACCGAGTAGCTCTTGAAACAGTTGTTTCTTGCTGTAGAGAGAGGCTGGAAGCATTGTGGGTGAAGGTGGTTAAAAAGCAGAAGAGTCGAACGGGGCGTGGGGACAATATTCAGGCACCACATAAGTGGTACTTGGCCTGGGGGTAGGTTGAACA